TTACAAGGTTGCCATATGAATAAATATTTTTACATGTAAAGAAAATTAACTTTTGAATAGAGGAAACCTCTATTTGGATAGTTTCTTCTAACAGTAGTGGCTTATTGCCTCCAGTTTAAAATGGTTTATGGTTGGTTTTCGCTCGTAAAGTTCAAATCATGGCTACACTTCACCAAAACTGTACACCCCCCCCCCCCCCCTCGCACAACTAATACAATACTTTATGATGCATTTTATATTACAATTTGAGTTTCACACATTATCTGGATCTTTTGAATGTGTTCACACACTTTTGGACCAAAAATTATCTGTATGTCTAAGATAGGGGTATTTAAAATCTACCATTCTGTATTATCCCAATGCATATTTGAGCAGAAATCAATTCTCAATAGTAAATAAGCAAAGGTGAGCGAGCATATGTTTAGTGAAGATGTGTTGCACACGGAGTCACCATGGCGTCTGTGAAAACTCTGAGGCTTCAGTTTTAAGTGATTTTAAAGCAACATGTCTTATGTTCTAATGCTGTTTTGCTTATTTCAAACAAAACTTACACATTTCACTTGTAATTTGTAAAAGGAAAGTAAGACTTTAATTTAAAAGTGTCTGTTCTTTTAAAGATTTCAGATTCAGTTATCCAGCTCTTTAGCTAACTTCTGTCCTATCAAAATATCCTCCTAGCTCCTGGAAAATTAGCAGCGTTCAGTTTGATTATTGATTGTTAGCAGGTTTGTGGTCATTAACGAGGCACTGCTTACAGAGCTCTGGCTGCTTGTTATTGTCCCCATTACCAAGTGATGAGGGGTAATTGTAAATACCATCCATCCATCCATCTGGCCATGTTCTGAGCATGATAACTTTAAAATAAATGAGGTACTGACTTCCATGTTGGTGTGTGTCTGCATCTAGATTTGAGACAGGTTCCTTTCGCAAAATGAATGTATGGATTTGATACCTGGATGACTGAGCATGAACTTTGTTGCCTTGAACCACTTTGGCTGTGACTGCCTGCCTGGAAGGAATCGATGGGGGACAGGACGACCCCCAGAAACAATCTTAGCTCCAACAAACTGGTTGGTCCACTTAAGGAGTTTACTTTTTGGTGGGGAAACAGTTTACTGGAACTTCTCAGATTGATGAAACCCTCAGGATAGAGGGCAAAATATCTTTATAAAAAGAAACTGTCCAAATGACCTGATTGGATTTCGCAAAATGGTTTGCCATGTAAAAATCAATATGCTGCCAAAATATGTCTATGTTAATGTTGTGAGCTGGATAACTTTAAATGCAAGCAATGTGGCAACATCATTCTGGTGTGAGGCAACATTTAGGTGTTCAAAAGGTCACTGTTGAAAATTGGATTGCCATATATATATATATATATATATATATATATATATATATAATGCTATGTCTTAAGGTTGTCATGATTCTGTAAAAAGAAAAAAAAAAATCATTATCTCTGGGAAAAAGGGTGCCTTAAAGGCAAATATAATTATATATCAGTCAGTAGATTTTTGTTGTGACAGAAGATCAAAGAGTTGGCTTCAAGTCCTTTATTTTTTGTAACACAGGACGTTTTTCAGGTATTTTCATATGTTTTCTGTGAAATTTCAGATTTTGGTTGTTACTTTTTTGTCTCCACGGAAGCTCTCAAGCTGTCTGCATCTGATTATGAAGCAGATAGCATCATGGGATAGGTTCCTTGTATCAAGATGTATTCTTTGTTTCAGGATGGGTTCCTCATTTTGGGGGTGGGGGTGGGGTTGGTTCCTTGTTTCAGTACAGGGTTCTCTTTCAAGCCTGATTCATTGTTTCAGGATGGGTTCCCCTTTCAGGATAGTTTCTTTGTTTCAAGACAGGTTCCTTGTTTCAAGATGTTTGTTGTTTCAGGGTGGAGATGAATTGTTGCCATGAACCTACATGTTGATGCACAGTATCTTTGTTTTTTTTTTTTCTGGAGGGAAGCGAACTAGACCAAAAGTTTTCCATACTGAACTTTACAGATTGGATCGATGTGTCTCACTCATTTTTAGGCACTGTGCTAATTTGTTCTAGCAATGAAAGTCCTAGCTATTGATTCACATTTAGTCCTCACCTGTGGGTATGAGCTCTGAGCTGTGACTGAAAGTGAAAGATTTCTATCTAGAAGCGTTGGATATGAGCTTCCTCTGAAGGTGTCCAGGTTTCATGTGAGGAGCTCACTAATTTGTGGTGTCTCTGTCACATCCAGCCACTTGAAGTTGTTCAGGTAGTTTTCTTGGATGTCTTTGTGGTGCCTCCCATTTGTGGTGCTTTGGGATATCCTAACAGGGATTAAAAAAATTATTATTTTTTTTTAATCAAGACCGTCTTTTTATCCGTCTTAATGTAGAATCTCACTGAGCTGCCTACTTTGGCGACTAATTAAATAGCGTCCATTAGTTAAGGAGGCTTAAAAATGTCTTGAAACGTTTGAAGGGGCTTTTATTATTATAAATGTCCTTGGGTGTCATGAAAGGCACTTTTTTTTAAATAAAATGATGATTATTATTATTATTATTATTATTATTATTATTATTATTATTATTAT